TGGAGGAACTCATGATACCCTAAGATGATTTTCCAAAAGTGGCTATTATTTTCTACTTTAACCATATTACGTGTTGTTATGGTAGAAGATTGGACTGGTTAACTGTTGTGGGAGTTGTCCTGGGCATTGTACCAGCGACCTTAATCCACTAGATGGCAGCAGCATCCCACTAGTTACGACAACCCAAATTGTCCGACCTCGCCAAGGGCTCCCTCCCTATCCCAACGTTTCTACACTTGATAATAGCCAAAAGGCCGAGAAGCTATAAATCCAAGATTCTAGAACCTTGTGTTAAAGCATTACTTTCTCTGCATTGCCCCTAAAGGACGGCCGCCCATTTGTCTCAGAAGTTCCGTCCCCTTTCCTTTTCCTGGCAGCCCCAAGAATTTCACTTTCATTTCTCTGCTAGTTCCTCAGGAGGAACTACTTCACTCAGACCGAGCCCCGGCTTGAAGAATGAATCCTGACTATACCTGCCCCCGCTTTTCTTTGCCACTTAAACCGGGAGTCAAGACATCTCCGCTGGGGCCTGAAGGTGTGTGGGGAGGTTTATGGGGGGCAGCGGGTAGGAGACTCCGGGAGGAAAGTACTTGGTGCAATTGGTGAGTTTAGTTTGTAGCTCAGATATGCTCTGAAGGGAAGCCAGTTTGCAGGCTTTCTGCTCTGAGGGCAGACAGCTGGCAGCCTTGAGTCTGGAGAGGGAGGGCCTTGAAAGAAAGGAGTGTTAAAGAGGCAGAGGGCCTTGTTTGTTTCGTGAGGGGGCCTTATTTTTCCAGGCTGAGTTTACCCCCATCCCTTTCCTATTCTGTAGTTTTGATTGTCTACCCTGCTAAGGGGCACTGGAATCTCTCTCTCTCTCTCCTCTTTCCTTTGTCTATGCATTTTAAACAAATTAATACTTTTATCTCTCTCTCTCTCTCTCTCTCTCTCTCTCTCTCTCAACTAGATGAACACAAACTCTCCTCTCTTCTACCCATCTCCACTCCCTCAGAAGAAAAGCTGGTAAAAGAGCTTCCTGTTTTCCAAATGTGTGAAAGCCCAAACTCCCAGGATGGGGCATTGGATAGAATGGAGTGTTGGGCGCTTGGCCAAGGGTAATTTTGAAGCTGATCCTTTCACTCCCCTCCTGGTAACCACCGAGGGGCCATTCTGACATATCCTCCCTCCACTGTTGGCCTGCCTGAAGACAGCAGGTGGGGTGACATGACCACTGCCTACCTCTGAGGCTGCCTTTTATCCTGTGTGGTCCAGAGTTCCAGTCTTAGGAAGCTACTGCACTTCCCTGAGGAGACCTGCTTACTCTCACTCTTACGGCCGGGCGTTGACTGTGGTATCCTCACCTGCCTTAGAGCTCTTAGACACACATTTGCATTGATTGCTTACTGTTTTTCTTTGTTCAAAACTAATTAATAGAGGTCGATTATTGCTTAGAAGGAGCCCATAGATTCAATGGTCTTGGCCTAAAAGTTTGCTCCACCAGTTGACATGTCCCATTCTAAGTTCATTTGTGAGCAGTTTGCACACTGATTGATATGTCACATTCCAACACATGCCCATTCTGTCCTATACTCCCACTTTTTAGAAGTCACTGTTACTGCCTTCCTGGGAGTCTATGCCTTAATCCTGGAGAGGGTCCCTTTCTGCCCAGATATTGATTATCTTCCTAGGGTCAAGAACAAGGCCCAATACATAGGATAAAATGGATTTATTTATTTATTTTTAAAATTTAATTTATAGGAACTAAAGCAGGCTGCTGGTGTGAAAAAATGCAATGAATATCCATTCAACGTATAAGACATGTTACATACATATAAGAGCTTACATTCTAGTTGGGAAGAGATTATAACCAAACAATAAATAATTGATATAGTATACAAGAAGGTGACTAATATCATGGGGTAACATTTTTAAAAAGTTGAATTAGGGTGAGGGATCTGTAGTGCCTGGTTAAAAAAAATTTTTTTTTTAATTTTAAAAATGCCTTGCTAGAGCTCTCAGGGAAAGGGTCATTAATGTGAAACAGATTTAGCTCTGGACCTTAAGGGGCGATTGAAGGACGGACTCTGAGCATAGAGCAAAGGGGGGAATGGGCGAGTTATGCTATTTCTTAGTTCCCCAGGTGTCTGGATGCCATAAAACAGGTTCTACTTCCCCTATTGCCAGTTTCTGACCCAAGAAACCAAGGAAAGTATCTAAGATGTTGTCTGAAACATGAAGAGATATCCTTCCTGCACTTTACTTCCAGGAGACACTTTTATTTTATTATCTAACCTGCAGAGAGTCATAGAGTTTGTATTAACATGAGTCCAGATGTTAGGAGAAGACTGAATTGTGGGATACAATTGTCTGACACGTAGGATAGCCAGCTGAGCTGGGAGTTCTATCAGGCAGGTGCTACTTGTGTGCCCTTCAGTACTTCCCTGACTGCTGCTGGGCTCTTGGGTCACTCTTGGGCGTTGGTGGGGTCATTGCCCATGTGTGGGGCTCTGCCTTTTCTTCACCTTTCTCCTTCTGTGGTTATTATGGTGGCAGCTGTTTTTGACATCAACTCTTGGCAGCCCCCCTGTGGTAGAAAGCATGTTCTACTTCTCTCTCCTCTGCAGGCTCTTGGTGTTTCTCAGCACTGGCTGGATACTGCATAGAATAGAAATAACAGAGAACCTCACAGCTATGGCTGGCTTATATCTTCAGTTATAAGCATGACTGGACGTTATCATACTATGTAAACTCCTGGTCTAGCTAGTCATCAGAGCCTGATCTAACCAGTTGTCACTGCTGCCAGGGGGACTTTAGACAATTTTCAGTATCTGTACCATTGGCTGGGTTGAACCTACCAACCCACATTTATAGAACCCTTCTTCTTCCTCCGGTTCACTTCATGGATTATTGGAGAAATGTGCAGATTTCTAGGCCTAGGTATATCTCCATACAGCTTTGATCAAACCCCACCCTTTCTTTTTAGAGCAAGGGGAAGATGTATAGTTTGTTAGTTGCTCAGGTCTTTCTTTCACTTTCAAATCTTTTCATTTAATTAGTAACCTAGGGCTGTAACAAATTACCACAGATTAGATGGCTTAAAACAGCAGGACTTTTTTCCCTCATAGTTCAGGAGGCCAAAAGTTCAAAACTAAAGCATTGATAGAGTTGGTTTCTCCTAAAGGCTCTAAGGAAGCATCTGTTCCATGTCTCCTAGTTTCTGGTGGTTTCCAGCGATCCTTAGCATTCCTTGCCTTGTCGCAGCATTACGCCAATCTCTGCTACTATTGTCACCTGGTCTTCTCCCCCATATGTTTGTGTGCTCTCTCTTCTTATAAGGACACTGGTCATTGGGTTTAGAGCCCATTCTATTCCAGTATGACCCTACCTTGACTTGATTAGATCTGCGAATACAAAAAGAACCTTCTTTGGAAATAAGGTCACATTCACACAGGTGAACGTTATCTGTGTGGGAGGCACAATTTCAATCCATTAGAACAATATTAAGACATTCATATCTACTGAAAACTCCCCTCCCCACCCCCCATAGTTCCTTGTTCATATTGAACCCAGGTTCTAAGAATCAGCATCACTGTGCTACCATTCTGATATGCCCTCTGATTGACCACCAGCAATAGTTTCAAGTTTGGTTTGCCATTCCCACTTATGTGAAAACAAGACATAAACCAGCCAGGTTCACTCAGCTTAGCAGAGGCATATGAGACAGGAGGCACAGTATGTTTGCATGGGAGGACTCTGTGTAGGACGGATATATGAGGTAAATACTTCTTCACTGGAAATCATTCCTGTGGTCCCAAAGCTCATTTATTGGAGAACAGGTAACTAATGTAAAGAAAAGATAAAACACCGACAAAGAAAAATTTAATCACCTATGGAGAAATGAGAAGGTTCTTTTTGTATTCGTCAAATATTGTGTTCTTGGCTCTGGGGATACAGCAGTGAATAAAAACAAAGTGCCTGATCTATATGTGGATTACATTTTAGGAGTAGGATACTTAAAGAAAGATATCTATATAGTGGTAATAAGAAAAAAGATGGCAAATGTACACTGAGTGATGTTTTGGTGGTTGTCCTGTAGCTAAGTTAGTCATATTAGGCTCTTCCAATGAGAGGACATGTAAGAAGAGAATTGTTTAATGTACAAGAGGAAGCCATGCAAATATCAAAGGGTGGATCATTCCAAACTGAAAGAAAAACAAAAGCTCTCAGGCTTACTCAAGCCACTGAATTTCATTTCTGGTCTTTTTTTCCCCTCTCTTTTTTGTCTCCTTCAATATTTCAACCTTGACCAATCCTTAATGTCTGCGCAATTAGCATCTTTTTTATTTGTGCCATTCTTAAACCGTCCCCTTTTAATCTGCCCATCCATCCAGGAACCTTTAAACAAGAAGAGCCTCAGGAGTCAAGACAGGAAGAAGACAGGGGAGTAGCTGCTATGGCTTTAAAATTCCTGGGGAACGTACAGGAGGCCGTGACTTGTCCCATATGCCTGAAGTTTTTGACAGAGCCCTTGAGTCTAGACTGTGGCCACAGCTTCTGCCAAACCTGCATTATTGGCAACAAGGAGACAGATATTGGCCCAGAAGGGGAAAACAGCTGTCCTGTGTGTGGTATTAAATACTCACGTGAAAACCTATGGCTTAATCAGCATGTGGCCAACCTAGTGGAAAGTCTCAGGGAAGTCAAGTTGAGCCCAGAGGAGGGGCAGAAGAGAAATCTCTGTGTGCACCATGGAGAGAAACTCCTGCTCTTCTGTAAGGAGGATAGAAAAGTCATTTGTTGGTTTTGTGAGCGGTCTCAGGAGCATCGTGGTCACCACACATTCCTGGTGGAGGAGGTTGCCCAGGAGTACCAGGTAAGAGACCAAGAGACAGGCAGAAGATAGTATTTCATGGGAAAATCTCACCTTTCCATCCTTCTTTACTCACCACAGCACCATAGTACTTACTGAGCCTCATCATCTCCTTCCATACATGTCTCTTACCCTATTCTCACCTTCCTGTGCCTGAAGGACATTTTCGTGCGTTTCTTGCATGTACACAAAGGATGAGACTAAAGTACAGACTCTTGGCCAAGAGCGAAAGGTTTTCCTCTTTTCCTTTTTGTTGTGCGGATGGGGAATTTCTTTCACACATTAGCTCTCATTGCTTCTCTCGGCAGAATGGTTGCTGTTGAACATCGTGGATTAGATGTGAAAAGACTTTCAATAAAGAAGAGAAGATTTACCTTGCCGTAGCAGAGTCAATATTTACTCTAAGTAGAAAGAAAATCAGACTGCTCTTGGGAAGGGGATGGTGACTTCCATCAGCCAGAAATAAAGACTACATTCACCTCCTCAGATTTTCTTCCATGTCATAGATTCTATTCTAATCATCAGATTCAAATCACAGTCTCTGTGAACTGGTCTCTTCTGAGATCAGTCTGACTTATTCCCTATTTATTCCCAGGTGCCAAGAAAGTCCATGTCTTAACTTTGGTGTGATTCTTCTCTCTCAGGAGAAGCTCCAGGCGACTCTGGAGAGGCTGGGGAAAGAGCAGCAGGAAGCTGAGAAGTTGGGAGCTGACATTAGAAAAGAGATAACTTCTTGGAAGGTAGGACTTCTTGGAAGGTAGACTCTTTCTGAGGGATTTCTGAGATATGAATCTTGGCAGGATCTTCTATCTCAATCACAAAGAAGCCCCTTCCTCTTTGTTTGATGACATTGAATGAATTCAGAAGCATTTGATTAGTTCTCTTACTTGTCTAGTCTCTGTTGGGGGTGGGAGCAGGAGAGTGGATGTTATAAGTACACATATTGTAAGTACAAATGTTACAAGTACACACAGATATTTGGAATTGAACACAAAGACAGATTTTGTGGTGAGAAAGGCTGGAGAATTCTGTCTTTCATTTCTAGTGAGGCTCTGACACCTCCAGTGGAAGACACTGGGCAAAAGGACCACGATTTTTCAAAGTTCAAATTTGAGAGCACGGTAATATAGGAAGGCACGAATGGCTGGTACAGCTATCTACCACCTAACCTTACTCAGATTTTATGTTTGTCCCAGGGTTGGCCTAGGTAAGACAGTCTGAGGCCTTTTTGGTTTGCACTGATGGTAAAATACTAGTTAAAAAACAAAACAAAACATATTTTCCAAAAATTGCTCCCCTGCTTCTGCTCCCCTCCTGGTTAGAATTCCTTGAACAAATATTTATTTTCCTGGCTCCTAATTCCTTACACTGTAGGCCCTAAGGCTGATAGAGTCAAAACTTCTCTCCCTTGTCAACCCTTGCAGTATCAAGCACAGACTGAGAGACAAAGGATACAAACAGAATTTAATCAGCTTAGAAACATCCTGGACAGTGAGGAGCAAAGAGAACTGCAGAAATTGGAGGAAGAGGAGAAGAAGACACTGGGTGACTTGGCTGAAGCTGAGGATGATTTTTTTGTTACTGAAAGAGCTCGTCTCAGATCTGCAGTGTCGCAGTGAATGGTCACCAATAGAGCTGCTGCAGGTAAAGAGGGTCCCCCAATCTGAGATTCTTAGTTGCCTTCTCTTTAGTGTCCTTGGGCTCTAATCCTGGTGTTGACACTAAGAGGTTATTTTGGTCTTGTGGAGAGTCTGAGAATAAAGTCAGCAGAGATTCCTGAGACATGTAAAGGCCAGGATTTGAGCTTCCAGATCCACCTGTGCCTAAATAATATCTCTGTGGCCACAATCCTTGGTTTTCTCTCTTTCTTTCTTTCTCTTTCTTTCTTTCTTTCTTTCTTTCTTTTTCTTTCTTTTTCTTTCTTTCTTTCTTTCTTTCTTTCTTTCTTTCTTTCTCATTTGGTGGTGGTGGTGGCCCTCCTCCTCCTTCTCCTCCTCCTCTTCCCCCTCCTCCTCCCCCTCCTCCTCCTCCTCCTTCTTCTTCTTCTTCTCTCTCTGTCTCTCTGTCTCTTCTTCTTCTCTCTCTCTCTGTCTCTCTCTCTCTCTCTCTTCTTTCTCTTTTTTCTTTCTGTTATAGTAATTTTAGTTTACTTCTTTTGCCTGTACAACCAATTATAATAATACAGAGAGCAAAAACATTCCTTTGGTTGAAACCCAGCTGGTGGCATTTAAGAGTAAGACCAAATACATTGGTACATACTATTCAAAACAAATAAATTCATAGACGTGATGATGTGGTAATGCAGACAACCAAAAAAAGTTAAGAATATAGAATGGGCTGGATTGATAAGATGTCTTAATATTTAGGACAGGGATTCAGTGAATACTGATGCCATTTTTGATAAATGGGCATAATAGAGAAAACAATATGGTTGGTGAGTAGTAGATTATATTTTAGATATTCTGAGTTGTTTCGTCTCCAATGTGGAATGTGTTATCCTGCATACATGATTAGAGACAATAGATAATGATTAGATATGTAAAATTTGGAATCAACAACACCCATAAGTAAGCTAAATTTTAAAAAGAAGAGGTTTTCTGTATATAACATCATGTATTCTACAAATAAAGATAGTTTTATTCCTTTTCCAATATAAATGCTTTTTATCTTTTTCTTGCCTAATTTCCTTGAGTAGAACCTCTAGTACCACAGCGAATAGTCACAGTGATAGCAGACATTTTTGTCTTGTTCCTGATCTTAGGAGAGAGCATTAACTTTTTCACCATTAAGTATGATGTACACTGTTTTTCACAGATACTTTTATCAGGTCAAGGAAGCCCCATTCTATTTCTTTTTTGTTGTTATTATCACTGTTTTGTTTTTATCATGAAAAGATGTTGGATTTTTTTTCTATTTATCGAAATCATCTTGGGGTTTTTAATCTTTTATTCTATTACTATGACATCGTTTTATATTGATTACTTTTCTTATGTTAAACCAACCTTGCATGACTGGGATAAAACCAACTTGATCACAGTATACAATATTTTATATTTTGTCATATTCAATTGTATTATTTGTTTGAAAAAATTTTGTCTATATTCGTAAGGGATATTGGCCTGTAATTTACTTTTCTTGTGAAGTTTTTGTCTGGTTTTAGTATCAAAACAGTATTGGACTCATAGAATGAGTTGGGAAGTATTCTTTCCTCTTTTATTTTTTGGAAGAATTTGTGAATTATTTGTATTATTTCTTCTTCAAACTTTTGGTAGAATTCCCCAATAAAGCCACCTGGGGCTGGACCTTTTTCTTTGCAGAAAGTTTTTGATTTTCAATTCAATCTCTACATGTTTTAGGCCTATTCAGATTTTTTATTTCTTCTTGAATCAGTATTGGTAGTTTCTGTGTTTCTAGGAATTTGTCTATTTAATCTAGGCTATCTAATTTATTGGTTTACGACAGTTCCTAGCCTTTATAATCTTTTAATTTCTGTAAAGTCAGTAGTAATGTCTCCTCCTTCACTCATTATTTTAGGAATTTACTTCTTTTCTCTCTCTCTCTTTCTGTCTCTCTCTCTCTCTTTCTGTCTGTCTCTCTCTCTCTCTCTCTCTCTCTCTCTCTCTCTCTCTCTCTCTCTCTCTTATCTTGGAATGTCTAGCTAAAGGTTTATCAATTTCTGGTAATATTATCAAATAATTCACTTTTGGTTCCTCTGATATTTTTTATTATTTTCTATTCTTTCTTTCATTAATCCTGCTCTAATATTTATACTCCTTGACTCATGTTTTATTTCTTCTTCCTAGGACATGAGTGGAATCATGAAATGGTGCGTATGGGTGACTGGGAGTGGTGCATTTGTGTTATGAAGAAAGATTTGTAGTCATGAGAAGTATTTGGTCATCAATCAGAAGGAAAAATCTCTCAAAGCAAGGAAAGTTAGATGTAGTATTATTTTAAATTGTTGGATATTGATGAGGATTTAATTGTTCCATATCTATTGAGAATGGACCAGAGTCTATGGTGGTAAATTTAGTGGTTGATATTCACTGAGCTAGAGCTAGTCTGGATAATAAAGATAACGGACTTTACTATCAGATATCAGACCCTTGTGACCTCACTCATTTAATTCACCCTCTGTTCTTGCTCCGGTTTCTATATTTCGTGTTTGCTTGTCTTTATCACATGGAGGGCCTCACTGAGCCCTAAAATAAGTTATGGGGCAGCGCCTTTATATTTACTTTGCTTAAACAGAAATAGAGGAGACCAGGCCATTCTTCAGGGTTCTCTTTATATTTCCAAAAACAGAGCTGAGCCTTGTGATTAGTGACTTTAACCCGTGTGCCAATAAGCAATCCCCACTGTTCATACACTTTAGAAGCTTCTATGGGAAAGTGTAACCCTTATATTTAAAATTGCCAATCTGTCTAGTGGCTTCAAGTTTCTTACAAACACATGAGATTCCAACCTTTTTTAATTTAGTAGACAACTTTTTCTTTGCCAAGTGTTTTTAACTTTCCCCAGAACACCTGGAATCTCAAATGTTATTTTGGGCCGCACCACTGGAATTCAGGCTTCAGACTAGAGCACAGGCTCAGAGATTCTTCATAAGGAGACCCACATTACAGCCAGGATCTCACTGATTATCTGCTTGGGAATTGACATCTATTTTGATGTCAATTGACCCTTTTTTGAGAGCCTCACTATGATGACTTTTCACATATTATGTATCTTTTTTGAGGTAGCAAAGGCTTTTCCTATACATTGTTTCATCTAATTCATATTATTTCCATGAGGTATAAAGGGAAGGGTTAATTATTCTATTTTTAGAAGAAGAAACTGTTTCTTCAAGGTGAAGTTCTTCCCAGGGTCACACAGAGGGTAACTGGGAAGATAGACATGAGTAATTCTCTTCTGGCTCCAGTGTCAGGGCCTTCCTTCTCCCCTCCTCAGGCTTCTCAGGGAAGAATGTTCAAGTGCATTAATGGCATGGAAGGAGAGGAAAGCAGTGGTATTGGAGGGACACAAGATAAGAGATGTAGGGTCAACATTTTTTGTCAACCCTAGGAGTGAGAGCTGGACACTGAAGAAGCCCAAAACTGTTTCCAAAAAACTGAAGAGTGGATTCCGTGCGCCAGACCTAAGTGGAATGCTGCACAAGTTTAAACGTGAGGAGAGACAGGGCAAGAATATGGATGTGGGGTTTTGTGGTGTCAGGACTAAACTGGGGAGCAGGTATAGTTTCAAAATGAGGATAGAAAGGAGGGTGTTCAGAGAAGGGATATTGCTGAAGATGTAGTTATATCTATGGGAGAATGGCTAGGTATCTGGTTTATCTTCTCATTTACCAGTTCATAGCCTCATAGCTATCTTCTCCCCTACCCCTACTCTAGAGAACAGATAGCTATCAGTGTATAATAATTTGTTTCTAATCAATATCCTTGAATCTTTTTATCTTTTCAGAGCTAACACATATCCAGTGCTACTGGGGTAAGAAATTACTGGGTCATCAAATCATTGTATTCTGATCCCCTTTCAGATGTTTGTGGTTTCTATGAGGTCTCATGATCTTAGCCCCGTGTTCTCCTCACCTCCCAATACATAAGTATTACACGTTTCTCCAATTTCTTACCCCACTTCCCCAGTCCATCAATACAAGTTCTTCATAGTCACTTTACAAGATCTGTGTTCATGTCACTAGATAAACCAACCCCATATCTCTCGCCTAATCGTATACTTTTTTTTTTCTCTGCAGTGGACATCACATTGAATCCGTTCAACCTAAATTTGAATCTTGTCCTTTCAGAGGATCAGAGGCAGTTGACGTCTGTGCCAATTTGGCCTGTAAAGTATTACAATTATGGTATCTTGGGCTCCCAATATTTCTCCTCAGGGAAACACTACTGGGAAGTAGATGTGTCCAAGAAGACTGCCTGGATCCTGGGGGTGTACTGTAGAACACGTTCCTGTAATACAAAGTTTGGTGTTAGACAAGGCAAAAATCATCAAAATGTTTACTCCAGATTCAGACCTGAAAATGGCTACTGGGTTGTAGGGTTACAAAATAAATCTGAGTACAATGCCTTTGAGGACTCTTCAACCTCTGATCCCAAGGTCTTGACTCTTTTCATGGCTGTTTGTCCCCATCGTGTTGGGGTCTTCCTAGACTATGAAGAAAGCACTGTCTCATTTTTCAATATCACAAACTATGGGTCACTCATTTACAAGTTCTCTAAATGTCGCTTTTCTCAGACTACTTACCCATATTTCAATCCTTGGAACTGTCCAGCTCCCATGATTCTTTGCCCGCCTAAACACTGAGCTTTCTCATTCTCTAACCCACGTGTAGTTCCCTTTGTCCTGGTTGTCATCTCCCACACCTTAGCTCATCTGCACCATTCAGACCAACTCTTCCTTGCTGTCTCCCTTGTTTTCTTTAGAACTTTTACTCACCCTTGAGATGAATACTGTTTCTGGTTTGGGTTAAAAGAGAAAGTTGTTTGCCCATTTACCCATTTTTGTCTTCTCGAAAAAGGACATTTAACTTTCTCCTAAAAACAGCAGTATTGGTATAAAATCTTTGCCCTTCTATTCTCTGTTTTTCCTCTATCGCTGATTGAAAAAACATAGCAAAGTTTTCTGCCACTATTCATGTTCCTAAGAAAATTTATAATCACCATGACCCTCCACCAGCAACTAAAGAGTCTTTGAGTATATGTCGATTTCTTTCCCAGGATGCAGCATGCTCATTAGAGAATCAAGGAAAGAGAAACAAAAATAATATATGTACCCAGAGTGAAAAATTGTGTTCAGTGCAAATCCTGTCTTTTCTCTATAGCTGTGTAATGATGAATAAATTCTGGGTTTCTATTTTCTAAAATGGAAATTGAGATTTAAAACTGCAACCAACTTTTAAGGTCATTGTATAAAAATGTCATTGAATGTAAACCTCCTATTTAACTTCTGCACAATATAATACATATTTGCTCTTCAAATAAACTTCTAGTACACTGTCCTCTCTGGGTTTGGGAACCTTAATGTTGTGACAACTGCCCTGCTCTATAGCTTTTTTGCATTTATAAATACTACAAGATTTCCAAGTTCAAACTTAGGGATCCATTATAGTTCCTTTAAAATCATTAACCTTGTTCATCTTCTTGGACCATATCTGCCATCTAGAAACTGATTTCTACTGAGAGATCAGGAGAAGGGGGAGCACATAAGAAGAATTTTCATGAAGGGAATCTCTGCAACTTTTAATAAAACAAAAACTGGTGCTAATAATCTGACAAGATATTAGAAGTGGCATGACAACAAGATTCTGAGACCCATGAGAAAAAAGAGTTAAAGTAGGGGTGCCTCTTTATTTAACCGCCTCTCCTGTTAAAGATATAGGTGCATCCCATTCGACTGACTTACTCGGATGGTACATACAGGCAAAGCTCTCTCTCTCTCTTTTTTTTTTTACTCTGGCTTCTCCTTATCTGACCTGCTCTTACTGGATTAAGGTTGACTTTGTGCATTATCACCTCTACAACTTTCTCCTTTTTACCTTTACCTGTCCCAAGTCACTTTTGAGCACACATCTTTGAAAATTGCACTGTTCACCTGAGTCATATTCTCACAATTCACTGTGCCACTTACACAAGATTTTAGAATTGTTTCATACTCTATTAGTGAACATTCTCCAGAGAAACAGAACCAATGTTATATATAGCTTTCAAATATATGAAGATGTATTACGAGGAATTGGCCTGTGTGATTATAGAGGTTGACTAGTTCAAGGACTTGCCTTCTACAAACTGGAGAGCCAGGAAAGCTGGTGGTGTAATTTAGTCCAAGTCCAAAAGCTTGAGAACCAGATGGTCGTGGTGGTTAATACGAGTCCAGGTAGGCAGGCAGGAAGCACAAGGAACACGTTCTTTCTTCCCCTGTCTCTGTTCTACTCAGGCCTTCAAGAGATGGGATGATGCCCAAAAACATTGGGAAGGACAATCTATTTTACTGAGTGCACAGATTCCAATGTTAATGTCATCTGGAAACAAAACCCTCACAAACACACCCGGAAATGAGGTTTATTCTGGGCACCTTGTGGCTAGTCCAGTTGAAACATATAATTAACCATCACAATTACTTTCCAGTTTTATTTTTATTATGTTAGGACTATAGAGATTTTCTGTTATATAGAATCAGATGACATTGCCAACAAATGACACTCCATGTAGTTTCATTTTTGCAGCCTATTTCAGAAATTTAGGAAAAGTGTCATTTTGTCCGTACTGGCTCCAGGTTCTGAAAGTCAGCATCCCGGTGCTACCAGTCTGTGATAGGCCCTCTGACTGAGCACTCGAGATAATTCAGATTTGGATAACCATTTCCTCTCACATGACCTAACAGGACCTAATAGCCAGATTCTCTTAGCTTAGCTGGTAGCTACAGGACAGGAGAGAGCTGCCAGTGTTGCTGTCCGAGGCGTCTTCAGTGTGAGTCCTCACTGTAAAATAGGAACTCTCCCCATCCTCGTGACATCTCATTTGTAAGGGAACAAAATCAGGTGGCTGTGTGTGAAATTGCACTGCCCAGGGTAAGCCTAGTTCTCCGCAGGATGAATTACTTTGAAGAACCGCGAGAACATATTCGGAGGGCAGAACTGAGACAGGGTTAAGAATGTAGTCACTGGCCCGACTGGCCCCTAGGGGCACAAAAGCCCTGGAAATTCTCCAGAGGCCCTATGTGAAGGCCTCCCATTGGTCCATAGTTTTTCTCCTTCTTTGCCACTCCCCCAAGAATTTAACTTTCATTTTCATTTAGTTCCTCGGAGTCCTCTTTGTGGAGATCAGGCCCCTGGCTTGGTGAGTGGATCCTGACCACGTCTGCTCCGAAGGCTGTAGCTGCAGAACAGGTAAATAGGTGTTTTTCCGTGGGAGATTGGAGGTGAAATTTTCCCTCTCTCCTTGTGCAGTGTCTGGGGTGTGGTAGCTTGTCCAGCAAGAGCTGTGTCTTCCATTGTTTAAGACTGTGGGTCCCGTAGTGCACCCCAGCACTTATTTTAGCCACACGGACAGGCACTCAAAGGGCATCCCCTCTGATGGCTGCCCCGCACCCACGGAGGCGGCGGGCGGTGGTGGAGGCGGCGACTCGGGTACAGCCGCGAGGGTGCAGCAGGGGAAATGGCCCAAGGCTTGGGTGGGGCACAGGCACTCCCCAGTCAGCTCTGTCCACGCGGCTGCAGCAGGGGAACGGTGCGCACCCAGCGGTGCTGGCTGGTTGGAGGGCGGTGCGACAGTGGAGCCCCCGGCAGCCCCGACGCTGGCAAGGTAGGGGAGTGGCGTTGCAATGGCGCCCCCACCGCCTCCCTCACCTGTAGTCTCTGTTTCTGGTGAGAGTCCAACAGGCTTCCTTTCCTCTTTCTGGAGATGAGTCCCCTTCACATGTGGTCTGGGCACTTCTCAAACTGCTTTTGCGTTGGGTCCTTGCAGCAACATCTTAAGTCCTTTAAGTCCTGTGAACGAGCTCTTTAAGAGAGGAATCTCCGTTGCCTACACCCCTAGTGTTCTCCTGGGCATAAGCCTTGTTGGTTTTTGAAGCCAAACACTTTGTGGGCTCCATTTCCAGCGCAGGTCCTCAGGGCTGGGACCTGATGTGGGGCACAAACCCATAGGTCTCTAGCAGGAGCTGCACTTTGTGAAATCCCTCCAGCACACACCACTCATGTTCCCATATCTATCTCCCTGTTTGCTGTGGAGCACTTGCATCACTGCTTAGGTAATGGTGGCGTCACCCTCCCAGTGTGAGGACTCAGGCTCCCCTGCATTTACCTCTTCTGTGCCCTGTGGCAACAGCTCTTTGTAGTCCCACTGTGAATAAATTCTTCAGCCCCAAGGCAGAATGCATATTCTGCTCTCCCTCCTTTATAGGCTCTTGATGTGTGCCAGGATTGGTTGGATCTTGAATGGGATGAGAAATAATTGGAGGCCCCACCCCCACGTTTGGATTATAGCTTGGGGCATAAACGGAGGTAGACATTTAATATCGACTCCCAATATGATATTCCCTCTATTGTGTTGCTCAGCAGAGCCTGATCTGAACCATAGTCTCTGCAGCCAGGGGCTAACTGCATTTGGTCTCAAGACTATTGTCAGTATCTGGATTATTAGCTGGATTACGCCTCCAGTTCACCTTGAGCCTCATTCTTTAACAGGTTCCCTTCATGTATGATGAACCTGGCACCAGTGGACATCTTTATTTGGTCCGAAATTGTTTATATGCAGTCCTTATAGCTTTTCCTCCCTAGTGCAGAGCAAAGGGAAAACACTGATTACCTCATCCAGGAAATCTTTCTTTTACCATCAAACTCTGGCAACCATTAAGACATTAACATCTACTGAGATTTTTCTTCGTTTGCTTCATAGCCCCATTTACCTGGTGTTCCTGATAAAACTCCTGAACCTAGACTGAGGCCACAGGGCCTGTTGAGTCCAGGAGGGAGAATGAGCATCACTGTGCTACTACTCTGTGATACTCCCTCTGACTGACCACCAGCATCATCTTTAATTTGGATGGTCGTTCCCATCAGTGCAACCTGATAAGACATAAAGTGCCAGGGTCGCTTAGTTTAGCTGAGTATACAGGACAGTAGACAGCATGGCAGCATGGCTCCCTCAGGTGAGCTCTTGGTGATGTATGTCTTCACTGTGTTGCAGGAGGTACTTTATCCCTGTTATCTCAGCCTTTTAAGAAGCCGGACTAAGTGGAAGGGTGTGAAATACCGTACCTTGCATATGCCTAGAGCTACGAAGCACTGATTGCCTTGTGAAAGCTCAAGAGCACACTTTTCAGAGGCTAAAGGGTACACAGTTGTTAATAAGAGTCACAAATCCCCATGAAAAATGAGGCCTCTGCTTCCTAACGGGCGTTTACAGTCTGTTTAAAGCCTTCCTAGTCCAAGCGTACGTTACACATGAGGCCATTTTTGCTGTTAGTAAGATGGCCTTGCGAGGCATCTCACTTTCCACTTTATTGTAACCCAGTCGGTTTCCCAGAAAACAAAAACGAAAACAAAGCACAACTTACTAGGATAAGAGTAAACCAATATTACGTTTACAGGAAGAAAACCCAGGCGTCTCACCTAACTGCCAATCTTTTCCTCTGACTTCATCTTATGTCTCATTCTCATCCCTTGCTCTCCATTTTCTTCATCACCTTGTTCTGAAAGTTCTCATCATCTCTCCCCGGGCAACTGTGTGTGCATCTTACTAATCTTCCCAATTCCACACTGCATCCATCTAACATTCCACAGCCCAGAGGCAGAGCTAATTGTGTCCCCGCTCTTCTGTGAGGGGAAAGACAGCAAGGA